TGCTTATTGCAGGACTTTTTGTATCATCGTGCTGCACTATTATATTTGGGTAAGTGACCTGTGTTTCGTGTTAACTATGATAATGATAAAATTGGAAAAAATCCAGAATCTCATTGTGACAAAAGGACCCAACAACTCCAAGGATCATGCTGACGTTCTGTCACTTTATTTGTTTTACACGCACCTTTTCAGTGTGCTTTTGGAGTTCCCTTTTCAGCATGACTCAGCGAGTTGCTGCTGCTGCTTCTGCTCTCCGACTCTCCACACAGCGTGCTGCTTAAATAGGGGAGGCATGATTCAACAGTGGTTACCAGCTGTCAGCCATCCTCCCCTGGCACTGCCTCCTGAACCTGCTGCCCTATCCCCCTTCAGCAGCCGAAAAACAAACAACACCCCCGCCACACTCCCACAAATTTCCTGAAAATACCAATCTAACAATGAATTTATTCAAGTAAAAAATAATGTTTTGTGCTGAATAAACAAAATTAAAACAGACCCATTAGCCACAATGTTTAGCACACGGTTGTATATTTATAGTTATTCCCATATACATATTGTTCTGCTGTAAATAATCATAACTCCAACCAGTTTATGTAAATCCACAGCAGAAAATACTTCCAAAGTTGTGTAGGCAAATCTGCCAAAAGAATACTAAGCTGCTTAAAAGGGAGCATAGGAATTCAGTAAAATGAAAGTACACCGTTATAATACATTTATAACTTCAGTTGGAGCACAGACTGTAAACAACAAGCACACAAGGGAAGTTGTAAAGTTTTGGGTTTTTTTTTTTAAGGCTGACACATTGTTGGTTTTAATGAAAGAATAAGACAAGAAAGACAAGACTGGAGGAACAGAATCAAAAGGAGATCAGCTAAATGAACTTAGAGAACTGAAGGTATAAAAAAAAGGAACTTATATGAAGCGTCAGGACATAAACAGGACACATAAAAACAAAGAAATCACAATGTGAATAAAAAGCTAGATTCCATGAATACAGAACCCTAATCCAAACATAACCCAAAATACAAAACGAGAAAGAACCCCTCTGGGGCCAAGAGACCATGGCACAATCACCTTTGTTTCAGATCACACACAGTTCCTCTGAGCTTATTTATTTCGTCTGCATTTCCTTTAATCTTGGCTGGCTCTTGTCTTCTTTGCAGATTTCTTGATCGGGCTCCTGCAGGACCTATATTCATCAGTCTGTGCTTTATTGTGAGGTCGCTTGACGCTGTCGGCTTTGGCGCTGCTACAATGTCTGCTTTCGCCATCACAGCACAAATATTCCCAAACAATGTGGCAACTGTTTTGGTGAGGGTGGACAAACTTGTCAGACTGGCATGCTGTTTAGACATTAGAATCACGAGAAAACAGAAACAGCAGTATAGGTTTAAGTTTTTATGTATCTCTCACAAAACAACTGGCTCTTGGCTATGATGTAAGAAATTCCCACAGTATAGTAATCTGGGTCACTACTGTTTTAGGGTATTTTGGAGATTTTTGCAGGACTCGGCCTTATCCTGGGACCACCACTGGGAGGGTGGCTCTACCAGACTTTTGGATACACTGTCCCTTTTTTAAGTCTTGGATGCTTGCTGTTGATTATGGTTCCTTTCAACATTTACGTCCTGCCGTCCATTGGTATGTAACACTTGAGATTTAG